GTGCCCTCGGACATTGGAGTTTCGCAGTCGCCCTCCTCCTCCTTCTCATCTGACTGATCCTGCCACTCCTCGTCCTCCAACCCCGCGGCGTGCAGGTATGTTTCACGCTCCTCTGCCTCCACGTTCTCCTCCTCCTTCTCCTCTTCCTCCTCCTGCTCCTCCTGCTCCTGCTCCTCCTCCTCCTCCTCATCCTTCTCCTCCTCCCCCCCCTCCTCCTCCTCCTTCTCCTCCTCCTGCTCTCCTGCTCCTCTTCCTCCTCCTCCTCCTCCTCCTCCTGCTCCTCCGCCTTTCTCCTCCTCCATCGTCGTCGTCTTAATTCTGATTGTTGTGTTGCACCGTGGTCTGAACTCTGCGTGTTTTTGCGAAGAGTTGAAGTCAGGCCGCCAATCAGGCACCGTCCTGAGGAAGAGGAGGAGGAGGAGGAGGAGGAGGAGTTTGTGGAGGAGGAAAACCCCTCCTTCATCTTCCTCCTCCTCCTCCTCCTCCTCCTCCTCATTGCAATTCCTCATTTTGCCTCTCTCCTCCTCCCTCTCCCCCTCCTCCCCCTCCTCCCCCTCCTCCTACTCCTCCTCCTCCTCCGCCTCCTCCTCTTCCGCATCCTCCCCCTCTCCTCCTCCTCCAACTCCTCCGATCAAAATTCGGTTCTCCGTCAAGTGAATATCGTGCCGCTTGTGAATCCGCTTCCACATCCTCCTCCGCATCTCCCCCCATCCTCCGCAGCCATTTTGGCTTAAGTCCGTGCTGGGGATATCAGCCTTCACCCTTCGCTTTGGTCATGGCGCCAAAGGCAAAAGGGCGTCCCCAGAAACCACGGAAGTTTTCAGCGGCATCGTTCCAATCGCCTCGGCCGACCAAGCGCGGATGGTACCAGTCTCCGCTTGGAGGGCAGCCAGCAACGCCAGAGGCGCACCATGATGCCAAGAGGGCCAAGCGCTCGGGACCCCAGGGCTTAGATGCTGCCACGAGACTGGCCAAGCTCGCGGAGTTCAAGGCCTTGCTCCTCAACGGTAGCGATGATGAGCCCCTCTTTCGTGCCGCAGATGGCATATACAAGCCGAAGCTTCAGGACGCTTGGAGTGCTGCTGGCCGCGATCGCAAGGACTTCGACTCATGGAACGCCAAACGGACCTCTTGGAAAAGATCTTCAGCTTCGAAATCGTCAGAAGCATTGGACACGCAGGGCGGCGCGTCGCCAACAGTCGTTAGCTCGCCCGATGGGCCGCCTCCAAAGTTGCAGGAGGCGAAGTACGACATCGCCACGAAGAGTGCCAAGGTGGTGATCGACGGCGCGGAATGCTCGACCCAAGTTTTCCGCCAGAAGGACAAGTCCAAAGGGCCCTCGTCCGAAACCTTGGCGGTGTTCGACCACGGCGGCAAGACCTTCGAAGTGAAAGTCCTCGGCATCTGGTGGGGTCTCGTCGACGGCAAGTTCGACAACCCTGAGAAAGAGGCTCGCGGTCCTCCCGCGTTGCGAGCGCTCAGGAGGCCGAAGATCAACATCAAGGCCGTGGGCAAGAAGCTCGTGGGCAAGCAGCCCAGGCCCTCCGAGAAGTTGCCGACGCTCACCGACAAGAAGACCCCGCCCACCGACAAGCCGGCGTGCCTGGCGGAGCCAGCAACGGCGAAGGTCGGAGAGGGCGACGTGGCCGTCGCGAGCCAGATCGCCAACGGGGACAACGTGGGCCAGGCCGCGCAGTCGGAGGGCGAGGCCGACGGCATCAGCCAGATTGCCGACGAGGCCAACGTGGACGGCGCCGACGGCGCCGACAAGGCCGCGAAGTCGGAGGTTCAGGACGAGGCAACTCTCCTCCTCCTCCTCCTCCTCATCGTCCTCGTCCTCATCCTCATTCTCCTCCTCCTCCTCCTCCTTCTCCTCCTCATCCTCCTCCTCCTTCTGCTCCTCCTGCCCCCCCTCCTCCTCCTCCTCCTCCTCCTTCTCCTCCTCCTCCTCCTCCGCCTCCTCCTCCTCCTCCTCCTCCTCGCCTCCTTCCCTCCTCCTCCTCCTCTTCTCCTCCTCTTCCCTCTTCCTCCTCCTCCTCCTCCTCTTCCTCCTCCTCCTCCTCCTCACCGTCCTCATCCTCATCCTCATTCTTTTCCTCCTCCTCCTCCTCCTGCTCCTGCTCCTCCTCCTCCTCCTCCTGCCCCTCCTCCTCCTCCTCCTCCCCCTCCTCCTCGCCATCCTCCTCCTCTCAGCTGGAGGAGGAGGAGGAGGAGGAGGAGGAGTGCAATGAGGAGGAGGAGGAGGAAGAAGAAGAAGACGACGAAGAAGAAGAGCAAGAGGAGGAGGAGGAGGAGGAGGAGGAGGAGGAGGAGGAGGAGATGGAGGAGGAGGAGGAGGACTCCATCTGCCGCCCTTCTTATCCTCCTACAGGTGTCTCGCGCCGAGAAGCGGCACCACGAGCTAGTCAAGATCGGCAATCGGTTGTACTTTAAAGACGAAGGCGTCACGATCCGATACGAACCTCGCAAATCGGACACCTTGCTTTGGGCCAGAACGAACCATCAGATCACCGTCCGATTCAAAGGTCACGGCAACCCCAGCTTCCCCATCAACTACCCTGCCGACGGCAATGGAAGCGACAAGGACTTCCTCTTGGCCTACAAGGAGGCCTTCACCTTGGCCCAGGAGTGGATCAAAGACCAGAAGGAGGGCACGAAGTTGTGGTCAAAGGGCAAGAACGGTTGCTGGGAGAGGGCGAAGGCTTGAGGCGAGCCCGATCTGTGCGCTCAAGGGGGAGAGGAGGAGGAGGAGGAGGAGGAGGAGGAGGAGGGAAAGGAAGGAGGAGGAGAGGAGATGATGATGAGGAAAGAGAGGAGGAGGAGGAGGAGGAGGAGGCTGAGGAGGAAAGGAGGAGGGGTAGGAGAGTGAGGAGGGGAAGAGCGGGGAGAGGAGGAGGGGGAGGAGGAGGGGGAGGAGGAGACAAAGGGGGGGGACGGCAGGAAGGAGAGGATAAGGAAGCCGGAGAGGAGTGAGAGGAGAGGAGGGAGTAGAGGAGGGTAGGAGAGAGGAAAGAAAGAGGGGTGTAAGTCACGCGCTGCTCCCAAGAGGACGGAGAGAAGGACGACAATGCAACGATTAGTCTGTCTTCTGCCCAGCTAGGCAGGCCTCACGCACGCAGGAACTTGCGAGCATTACCTGCAGTGCGAACTGCTGTGGGGATGGCAGTGGCCTGGGCGAAGAAGTCGAATGGCTCCTTCTGCTGCTGCTACTACTGCTGCTACTGCTTCTTCTGCTGTTGCTGCTGCCGTCCCTCCTCCTCCTCCTCCTCCTCCTCCTCCTCCTCCTCCTCCTCCTCCTCCTCCTCCTCACTATCCCCCTCCGCCTCCGCCTCCTCCACCTCCTCCTCCTCCTCCTCCCCCTCCTCGTCTTCCTCCTCCTCCCCCTCCCTCCCGCTGACTTCGAGCCGAGTGGCGCTAGGCGCCAATGGGGTTGAGGGGGTGAGGGGGTGGGGGGGCGCCCCCCAAGGTCTCGAGCAGCCTCGGAAACAACGCCGACCCACTAGGTAGAGAGGAGGCAGAGAAGCTGATAAGTTTCAGCCGTGCAGTTTGCTTTGTCCCGAAGGGGGGAGGAGGGGGAGGAGGAGGAGGAGGAGGAGGCGGAGGAGGAGGGGCAGGAGGAGGAGGAGGAGGAGGAGGAGGAGGAGGAGAAGGATATTCCCATTCCCGTTCCTGGGATTGGCCACCCGCGGGGCCCTCAGGAACAGGAATGGGAACGCAGCCCTGCGAGAGACGGGAGGAGGAGAAGGAGGAAGAGGAGGAGGAGAAGGAGGAGGAGGAGGGAAGGAGGAGGAGGTGGAGATGGAGGAGGAGGAAGGAGGAGGAGGAGGAGGAGGACGTGGTCTACCCGCCCCGCCCCTTCATCCCCACACAAGCTTTCGTTGCGCATTCCGCCGCCGACCGCCCGACACGCATTGAGAGGAGGCGGTGCCGCTTGTCCTTCCACAGGCTGCTGATGACGGTGACGAGGAGGAGGAGGAGGAGGAGGAGGTGGAGGAAGGAGGAGGAGGAGGAGGAGGGAGGAGGAGGAGGAGAGAGGAGAGGGAGGAGGAGGAGGAGGGGAGGAGGAGGAAGGAGGAGGGAGGGAAGGAGGAGGAGGAGGGAGGAGGTAGAGGGAGGAGGAGGAGGGAGGAGGAGGAAGAGGAAGGATGAGGAGGAGGAGGAGGAGGAGGAGGAGGGGGAGGGGAGGGGGCAAAAAAAAAAACAAAAAAAGGAAGGGCAAGGTATACGGAGGAAGAGAAGGAGAATGAGGACATGGAAGAGCAGAATGAGGAAGAAGAGGATCTCTGTCGGCTGTCCATCGCATCAGGGGGGGTCTTCACGCGTCTGGCTCGGGCTGGGACCAAACCCAGACTTGCACGACCAAAGTGCGCGCCCGAAATGACGTTTCGAATCAAGTCACCGAGGAGGGGGGTCCCACGTTTTGTCCTTGCCGAGTTCCGAAGTTCTTTCTTCTTTGGTCCGCAGAGATATTCACGCTTATCTCCTCCTCCTCCTCCTCCCCCCCCTCCTCCTCCTCCTCCTCCTCCTCCTCCTCCTCCTCCTCCTCCTCCTAGGTTTCGGAACCAGTCTAGGGAAACTATCCTTCTGGAAGCTGTGAAAAACCCGCGGCGGTGCAATCAGCGAACGCTCCCGCCCTCCAGACGCCCCGCCCGCGGCCCTCTTCTGAGAGTCTGAATGGCTACGTTCGGCATGCTTCAAAAATCTTCCCAGTAATGTTTTTCGACTGTCCCAGGAAGATTTTTCATTTTTTTTCAAAATTTCTCCCCAGGGTAGCTGGGAAGATTTTTGGGCCGCCAAAACCTGAAACACTCTGCATTTCTGGCTCGCCGACGAGCCCAGGAAGATTTTTCAAGATTTCAAAAAATCTTCCTGGGATCTCTGGGAAGATTTTTGATCAGTTTGATGTCCACCCTCCTTCTCCGCCCCCCTCCATAGCCGTTTTGGCCAAGTCGCCCAGAGATCGCGCAGTCGGCAGTCAGTTACGTCCACCGCAGTGCGCTATGACCAGCGCCATGGACCTGTGGAGTCAGAACTTCGAGAACCTGTTGTCAGGTGATGTCGCTGAGTCGTGTTCGGACGCTCCTTCAGAAGATGCCTCATCCGTCACGAAGAGCAGTCGTCGTCGCGGCAGGGGCAGTGGCCGCGGGCGCGGCAGCAAAGGACCCAAGCTCCCGCCCATCAAGGAAGATGCCAGCCAGCTCGGGAGCCCGCCGAAGGATACCCTGTTGGCGCCGAAGGAGGAGGCGGACACGCAACCTGCCTCAGCCGAAGCTCTGCGTGACGTCGTACAGCCTCCAGGCCCTCCAGCCCCAGCGTCGCCACAAGGCCCACCGTCGCCTGGAGAGGGCTCGCAGAAGAGGGTCGACCGCCCCATCACTCCCGTCAGGCCTCAGCGGGGCGCGGAGCAGGACGAGGAGTTCGAGCCAGTCGAGGGGCCAGGAGAGAAAGGGAGGATGCCAGAGGAGCAGCACGAGCAGCACGCCGAGCAACCAGCAGTGGAGGAGGAGGCAGAGGAGGCGCCAACTTCAACGGCCTCACGTTCTCACCAGCCGGCTGCGCCAGCTGAGGAAGCTACGATCCACTACGGCGGCGCGCCTCCAGAGGGCGCACTTGCTGACGGTGGGGAGGGCGCTGCTGCTGAGGTGGAGGCTGCTGAAGGTCGTGGGGAGGATGCTGGAGGAAGCGAGGGTAAGTCTGACTCGAGCTCTTCTTCGAGCGACGATTCCGACGAGAAGAAGAAGAAGAAGAACGCTGAGAAAAAGAGGAAGAGCCGTGCCGCAGCTGCGAAAGCTAAGGCGAAGGCCAATGCAGCTGCCATGAAGCAGAAGGCGAAGGAGGACAAAGAGAAGATCGCGGAGCTGAAAAAGAAACTTAAAGAGCAGAAGGCTGAGTACGGCAACTTGAGCCAGAACATGGCGAAGTACAGGTACGACCACCCTGGCAGCCAGTGGTCCCAGCTGTGGACCTCTGCGAAGTCTCTTCCACCACTCGAGCAGCTCGTTGCGAAGGAGAAGCTCATGAAGTTCTACGCCACTACCATCTCGAGGAGCCGCCACACCCTGAGCTCGAAGAGGAAGCAGGAGACCGAGGACGCGAAGACGACCGTGACCGTGAACTTCAGGGACCTTTGCGCCAGGTGGACGCTCGATCCTAGCGCACCTGCGGCCTGGGAGGAGATCGAGACTGCCGTGAAGATGCAGTGGGTCAAGCAGAAAAAGCTGCCACCCAAGAAGCTCAAGCTGGCAGAGGAGCTCGGACCCCCCGAGGTTGCCAAGTTCGACTACATCATCACGGAGGCAACTGTGAAGGCGAGCAACAAGAAGTCCAGGGTCGAGGAGTTCCGTGAACAGAAAGACGTCGAGGGTGATGATCGTGAGAACTTGCGCGCCGAGCACTTTCCGCAGCAGAACGCAGAGAGGCCGCAGCGCCAGCAGCGTGCGCGTGGCAAGAAGGCCTCCCAGAAGCTCTCCGAGGATCCTCCTGCAGGGATCCCTGCTGAGGAGCCGCCTGTGGGTGGCCGTGAGGGGGCCGATGCAGCCGCCTAGGTCGCGATGGGCGTTTTTTTGTTTTTCTCAGTTTCCCTCGCAGGCACTATAGGACCCCGCCTGCAGCAGAGCCGATAGCAGTTTCCGAAGTTATCCGAGCGCACAGCCACCAGACAGCATAGGATTGGCTGCAATCAGTGAGCTAGCGCAGCTCTGCAACACAAGCAAGAAGAGAAGAGTAGAGTAAGCAGATCAGAAAAATTCTGATGACTTCACGCGTTCCTCCTCCTCCTCCTCCTTCTGCTGGTGCTGCTCCTCCTCCGCCTCCTCCTCATCCTCCTCCTCCTCCTGGTCCTCCTGCTTGGGCCCTCCTACTTCTGCTGCTACTGCTGGCCCTTCTCCTCCGCTGCGCCCCCTCCTGATGCAGAGACCTTCTTCAGAAAACGTTTAGCGGGCTTGACACGGACCGCCGTGTCGCAGATAGGTCGGTGCCGAAATAGTTTTAGAAATCTTCTTCAGGAATCTTCTTCAGAAGTCTGAAGGAGGAGGAGGAGGAGGAGGAAGTGGAGGAGAGGGAGGAAGAGGAGGAGGAGGAGGAGGAGGAGGAGGAGACCGTGTTTTTTGTCAATCTGATTTGGAAAAAAATTGAGGATGAGGAGCATGAGAGGAGGAGGAGGAGGAGGAGGAGGAGCAGGAGGAGAGGGAGGGGGAGGAGGAGAAGTAGGAGGAGGAGGAGCATGAGGAGAAGAAGGAGGAGCAGGAGGAGCAGGAGGAGGAGGAGGGGGAGGACGACGACAGTGGAGGAGGGGGGTGGCCTCCCCCTCGGCGTCGGATCGGCGACGGTAGTGTCCTTCCCAAGTTTCCGAAGATATATCGAAGGGGGCGGCAAACACAGCGCGACAGCACTCTGGATATAATCAGCCCCCTCTCCTCTTCCAGCCCGACGGCAAGCAACCAGCAGCAGCAGCTGCAACAACAGGCAGCAGCAACAGCAGCAACAAGCAACAGCACCACTATGCCGACCACCGCCTCCTCCATGTCTTCAGCGTTGGCCGTCGCAATACCCCGAACTCGTGATGCCATTTTGGCAGACATCCGAAGTCCCGCGCATCTGCGATCCACGGACCTCAGATACTATGAGATGAGCTGGCGCCCCAATCAGTCCGTGGCCAGTTTTGGCTCAAGCAAGTTTGGTTCAAACTAGTGGAGCTCCAGCCATGGTTGGCCGCCTCGAGCTTGAGCTGCTTGGTCTGTTCGCCAGGGGCGTCCTTTCTGCTACTCAAGTCCAGCGGTTAGCTGGAGCTGCCTGGGCTGATGGGTGGGGTTGGAAAGACAGCTCAGTCGCCTGCCGATTGCGCGACGCCGTCAGATACGACGACTGTGTTTCTGTATGCTCGCTGGCGCTGGGAATGAACAAGTGGGGCGTTTCACCTTCGGCTCATGCCATGTGTCAGGCTGGCGCACACGGGAAGTACGCTGGCAATAGCCAGCGGGACCTCTTCAGAATTGCCGAACATCATCATGTGGTAGATGAGCTCCCGCACCCTTATATAATCGATGCGCCTGGTCCTGGAGGCACCAGGGTCGAGCACCATGTGTATTTACCACACGAGACGCTTGAACACTATGCATCGATCGGCACTTCGATGACGTTCAGTCCTGTTGAGCTCGACTCGGCGCCACTTGGCCGACTGCTCACGGAGTGGTGTCAGCATCCTGATGTCGCGGTGCCTGTGGCCGAAGCGGGTTCGGTTATACCCGTGGGCCTTCATGGGGATGGGGTGCAATACACGACGACTATGCGAGCTGGAGGTGCCAAATCTGTTGTTGTTGTTAGTTTCAATGTGCTCGCTGGGCCAGTTGAGGTCCTCAAAAAGAGGTTTATGATTAGTATCTTGTCCAAAGATAATCTCTGCGACTGTGGTTGTGAGGGCTTCCACACGCTCCAAGATGTGTTCGCTGTTGTGGCGTGGAGCTTCCAATATATGAGAGGGCACGCAGCCCCGAGTGCTCGGCATGACGGGGCGCCCTGGTCAGCCTTTGATGTCGAGCATCGTTCGTCTTCTCGAAGAGCGCCAAGGGCTGGCGTCATTCAAGTGCGCGGGGACTGGGACTGGATGAGCCAGGCCTACCGATTCCGCAGGCCTGGCCAGGAGATTGCTCCTCCTTCTCCTCCTCCCCCTCATCCTCCCCCCTCCTCTGCCTTCCCCTCCTCCGCTTCCTCCTCCTTCCCCTCCTCCTCCTCCTCCTCCTCCTCCTCCCTTTTTTGTTTTCTCCGAGGAGTGTTTCTGCTGGCTGTGTGACGTCACCAAGGCATCATACCGCAATGAGTTTCGGAGGGACGCTCCTCATCGCCAACGGTTGCGAACACACGCTGATTTCATGGCAGATGTTGTGAATGACCAGCTTCCTTTAAGCTCAATCTTTGGTTGCCCTGGGCTTACCATTCGAAATTTTGCTATTGATCATATGCATTCTGGTGAGTTGGGCCCATTATTAGACGCCCTGGGTTCATTGTTCTGGGTGGAAGTGACTCATAAGCGTTGGTACCGAACCAAAGCTGTTGGTCTCAAAGCCATCAATGACGAGCTCAAGTCGTATTACGCTGTAAACAAGCAGTACACGCCACTCAACTTGAGCATGTCTCAGATTAAAAGCAAGACCACGCCTTACCCAGTTCTCAAGGCCAAGGCTTCTCAATCGAAGCATCTTTGCAGGTTTGCTTTAGCACTCGCGCACAGGCAGGCGGGGCATCAAGCCCGCGTGGCCTTCCAGTGGCGTCATGGGCATCGCTTGAGCGGGAGAGGTCATGAGTACTGCTCTTTGATTGTGTTGATCTTTGAAGCCGCGTGCGCGTATTATGATGCGTGTGACGCCGACGACTTCGTCGCAGACAAATGTATTCAGCCTATGTATGTGTTTCTTCAGTCCATGGTTGCCATGAACAACTTATGGTGCGACGGCACCCGAGCTGAATTCTATAATTTCCAGCCTTTTCACATCAGGCAAAAAATGCACATGCTTCAGCACCTGGTGGAGGACTAGCTTTAGTTGTTTGGGGCTCCTCGGAATTTTTCGTGTTATCTCGACGAGAGCTATATTGGGATTCTCAAAGTCATATGTGGCCGCTCTAAGCATCCGAGGACAATCGAGTCTGTTGCCATGCAGAAAGTTCGCCTCGGCGCAGGCGTGGCCGCCTTACAATGCGATGCAACGTCGTGAACAGGACTGGAAGCAGCCTTGCCACAAAAAACGCCATATATGTCGGGCTTCGCCCTCCACCAATTATATTCTTCAGGCTGCCGCCTCCCGCCGACGTTGTCTTGAGCCTTCTTCGGGTCTTGGCTCCTCCTCCTTCTCCTCCTCCTCCTCCTCTTCCTCCTCCTCCTTCTCCTCCTCCTTCTCCTCCTCCTCCTTCTCCTCGTCCTCCTCCCCCTCCCGTTCTCCTTCCCCTCGTTCCTCATCCTCCTGGGGGGTCTTGGGGAAGATCATGGGGTCTTGGGGAAGATCTTGGGGTCTGCGGGAAGATCTTGGGGTCTTGGGGAAGATCTTGGGCTCTTGGGGAAGCTTCGGGGTCTTGGGGAAGATTGGAGGCGCATTGGGGTTTGGCGGAAGATCTTGAGGTCTCTTGGGCCTCTTCGGGCCGTCTTTGGGCCGTCTTCGGGCCGTCTTTGGGCCACCTTGGACATGTCTGGAGCCGTCTTGGGGCCATGATTGGCAGTTTTTCCGAAACTAGCATTCGAAAACTAATCGAAATGTGATGATCAGGCGGTTTCGCAAGCTTGCGATATCTATAGAGAAACACCCTGGGACCTAGTAAAAAACGAACGGCGGATAACATTTTTAACAAAATATAGCATGACAACAATGTTATACATGCATGTGGAACAATGTTAACATAGGATGCTCAGGGTTTCGAAAGAAAAATGTGTATTGGAATGGCCTTTTTTCGGCGCCGCCTCGGAACTAGATTTTCCGGCGCCCGGGCGCCGGCTCGGGCGCCGACCCGGGCGTCCGGCCCGGGAGCCGTTCTCGGCGGCGAGCAAGAGCACCGAGCCCGAGTAAAAAAGGAGGAAGTCTCGAGCCGGAGCGTTGTTGTTGTTGGGGGGCCGGTTTTGGCGGAACCCCAAAACGCCTGAGCGTGAGCCTCAATTTCAGAGGAAATGCGGCCGGCGCCTCGGCGAGAGCGCCAGGGCGAATATAGGGGGTCCAACAATAATAATTGTTTAGTAATTAAGGTTCAACAACTACTACTACTACTACTACTACTACTACTACTACTACTAATAATACTACTACTACTACTACTACTACTACTACTACTACTACTACTACTACTACTACTACTACTACTACTACTACTACTACTAATACTACTAATACTATTACTACGACTACTACTACGACGACGACGACGACGACGACGACGACGACGACTACTACTACTACTACTACTACGACTACGACTACGACTACGACTACGACTACGACTACGACTACGACTACGACTACGACTACGACTACGACTACGACTACGACTACGACTACGACTACGACTACGACTACGACTACGACTACGACTACGACTACGACTACGACTACGACTACGACTACGACTACGACTACGACTACGACTACGACTACGACTACGACTACGACTACGACTACGACTACGACTACGACTACGACTACGACGACGACGACTACTACTACTACTACTACTACTACTACTACTACTACTACTACCCCTCCTCCCTCCTAGGTCATCTTGTTCCATCCCAGCAGAAATATGGGAGCGGCCAGATTCTGAAACTTTCCGGCCTCCGGGGGCCCTCGCCGGGCCTCGCGGGTGCGTCAGAGGAACGGCGCAGGACGAAGCACCAGCCCCGGGGAAGTGGCCCAGACCCCCATGGCCCGCGCATCGCAAAAGTTGGAGCAGCCGGATGTCTGGGATCCTCTTACTCTGAGATCCGATGTCGTGTTTTTTGTCAATACGGGGTCCCTGGAAGTCTCCACCCATTCCCCAGGATCGGTTTTTCATTCTGAATCCTTTTTTAACG